ACCTTGCTGCCCTGTCTGTCTGTATTTGCTCCATCTCACTGAGCCTCTCTTGGGGGACCATTATTTTGAAATCCTCTTACAGCAATTTTCTTTCTTTGGCGTCAGTTGCGGAAGAGTGAGCATGCCTCTTTGGTGGTGTCATGTTCCTTTGTGTTTTCACGCTTCTCACGTCCCTGTGGTCACATCTTTTTTTCCCGGTTTTACAGAGATGCTTTCGTAGGGAAAGGTCTCTAAGGATGGCTGTGCGTTAAGATGTTGCTTGTGTGGGACACGCTGGTTGTGGTTGCAGTCATGTAGGCCACACTTAGTTTCTGAGCTTCAGTGAGCTCATCAAGGTTTATGAATCCTTCAGTGGCCTCGTCTGAAGTCCGTGCTGCGGCCCCAGTGGGTGGGTTAAGCACAGTCTCCTCATCGAGGCAGGGTTGCTCAAGGAAATGCAGGAGCTACTCTCTGCTGGGTCAAATGTGACCTTTGGTGGAGGGCCGGGTCGGGGCTGGCTCCTCTCCAGTGAGGGTTGTGTGCTGCCCTCTGCACTGAGACAGGATTGGCAGTCTCAAGAGCATACAGGCATCAACTAGATTTTGGGTCAAACATAATTCCTGGGCAGTAGGGTTTCGTATAGGCTTTGGTAGGAGATTATATTGTTTCAAAGCCTACACTTCTTGGGCTCCAATCATGATAGTGTGTTATTTATGTGGCACAGTGCTGTGGTGGTGTATCTCTTATTTTAAAGTATGTCCTGAGTTGTTCAGTCTGTGTAAGGAATCTAAACCATCTGTGGAGGTCACTGCTGTTGATGCACACATTTTGAATGCTCTTCTACCACGTATGAGGGAGTGTGGCCCTTCCTATGGCGGGAAACTGGGAAGTGGCCAGACTTTCAGAAGTGAGAAGGGAAGGGAAACAATGCTTGTTGTCTGCAGGAACCCTCCAGGAATGAGTTAGTGCTGTTTGTGGCAGTATTCCCTGTCCGTGATATTTCAGATCATGAAAGCGCTACTCCGCCCTAAGTCTTTGGATAATAATTACATGCACCCGAGACACTCACCAGCCTGAGAAATGTGAGTGATGTAGATAGGAAATTGTCTAGGTCTTTCAAAGCGTGACAGTTTGGGGTTGCTTGCTCCTGCAGCCAAAATGAGCCTTTACTGGCTGGTGTAGTCAAGAAAACAACACAATGGGTTATATATCTGAAGCGCTTTACAAGTTGGCCCCTTTTAAAGTTTTAATGATGTTTTAAATGCAGCATAGTGAAGCAACTGTGATTATGTCATGGAGCAGATCACATGAGCTTGAAGTTTGATTTTGCTGAGTTGTAAGTCTGTCACCTCAGGCAGCTTTCTTCAGCATTCTGGAACCAGTTTTCATATAAAATATCCTAGTACTCACATCATAAGATCATTATAAAAATTAAATAAATTAGTGTTTGTCAAGTACTTGGATGAATGCATAATAATCTCATCTATCATCTAGCATTCTATTTGGGAAATATGTAAATAAGTATTACATGTAGTGTTTATAGCAGAGCTTCACACAGAATGAGCTCCCTGGGAATATTCATTATTACTAATATTTAGAATAAAAAATTGAATAATAATAAAATATTTGTCTGAGAATTTGCTCCAGGAAAGTCTAACAGTACACAGAAAAACAAGCAAATGGGAGAAAAATGAATCTTTTTCTTTTGACTTGGTTAACCAAAACAGAGGCCATTCGGGTGGACTTTTTTCTGGGGAGATGTCTGAACTCTTCTTAGCCATTTCTTATCAGACAGGAAGCAGAGAGGAAAAGGGAACTGAAAAGACAAACAAGGCCTTTCTATTGTTTATCTCTGTCACCCAGAGTCGCAGGGAACAGCATGCCTGCAATGCATGTGCAACACTCCTTACCATGTGAGACACACAGCTCGGGACTACCTCACACAGCGGCCAAGCAAGGATGCTTAGCATCTTTGGAAAGACTGACCATAGGGTTTATGAAAATGGTTTTATTCATGAAAATCATCTGACGTACTAAGAGTAACAGCTTCCAAAATCTCATATTTTTGTTTTTGTTTGCTTTTTTGGGGGGGCAGATTCTGGAATCCTAAATTGCCAACACATTCCTTTGGAGACTCTTCACCTGATTTCCCCTGGAGATCCCCACCCTAAGTGCAGACTCTGTAAATGAAATACCATTGTCATCTTATCTGAATTGCAGGTTCCAATGATCTCAGCAGTCACCACTCAGCAGTCACAGTTCATTTTTAATCACTACTTCTCTTGCCTTTAATCCCAGTACCCAGGAGACAGAGGCAGGCAGATCTTGGTGAGCTCAAGGTCAGCCTGGTGTACAAAGTGAGTTCTAGGACAGCCAGAGCTCTTACACAAAGAAATCCTGTCTCCAAAATCAAACAAACAGTCAGAATAAAAGAAAACAAACAAACAAAAAGCAAAGCAAAAGGAAAAGTAAGAGAAACACATACACACAAGACACACAGACACACAGACACACATATACACACACACCAACAAACACACAATAACAACACAAAATCAGAAGCCAGGATATATAAACAAAAGACTAATAAGGTAAAAAATGCCCAGACAAAGCATTATGAGACACAGAAACTTCCAAAAATACCATTGAGTTCATTTTGTATTGACCATCTCTTGCTGGGCGTGGGCCTGCCCTTAAGTGTGGCTTGTCTACCCAGTGTGAATCCATTGGAGAAACTATTCTTTTCCTCTGTAAGCCGTTGTCAATTGGAGATCGTCTTGGTTAGGAATGGGGGCTTGTGTTCACCTTCCCCCTCAGTGCTGGCACCTCATCTGATTTGGATCTGCGCATGCTCTGTGCACACTGCCCTGGTCTCTCTGGGTTCATATGGGTATCGATGCTGTTGATTCAGAGGGTCTTGCTTTCTTGGTGTTCTCCAGGCCCTCTGGCTCTTACGCTCTTTCCACCTCCTCTTCTGCAGGGTTCCCTGAACCCTGATGGGACGGGTTTAATGAAGACATCCCATTTAGTACCGAGTGTCCCAAGGTCTCCTACTCTCTGCACATTGTCCAGTTGTGGGCTTCTGTATTAGTTCCTATCTGCTGCAGGAGGAAGCTTCTCTTATGGTGGCTGAGTGAGACACTGATTTATGGATGTAACAGAATGTCATTAAGAGTCATTTTATTGTTTTGTTCCTTTAGCAGAACAATAGGATTTGGTTTTCCTCTAGGTCTATGTATGTATACATACACATATATATGATATACATCTATATGTATATCAGTAAATGAATTAAAATGGTAATATGTATTATTAATTCATTTTCCCTAAAAATGAATTAGAAGATGTTTTTCTTATCTCCTATAAATACACTCATAACATATAATAATTTTATGAAGTGGTAACCACTTACAGTATGTTCTGTAGATAGCTCTTATTCTATTTTATCAGTAAAATCAGTTCTGGTGCGAATAATTCATTTTGCCTAATGGATCCCATGGTTTTACAATAAACAAATCCATCCATATCCGCACAACACTGTTTATGTAGAGTGTCTCACCCTGCAGCTAAAGCTGGCTTTGAACTCCGAGGCACTAGGGTTGCAGTCATGCACCATAAGGCCCAGCTATATCCAACTCTTTGTTACTCTTTCTTTCAATGGATACAGATTTTCACTCACACAGGAGTATGGCTATTTATTAAATGCTTAAATTGGTACACATTCAGCATTTTAAATTACATTTGGTATGAGTCCCCTTATCACAGGAACAATTGCACAGGAATAACGCAGTGAGGAGCAGAAGAGGGCATCCTGCATTCTGAAATAGAACTCAAAGTTTTTAACTGGGTCATGGCACCCAGGCTTGGTTTACCACCAGCCACCGAGAACCAAATGCGATACAATGTGACTTTGAAATGGGCATCATTCCACTCAATGCCAGCACACCGCCACCACCACAAGATAGTTTGGCAACGTTTAAGATGACTTACAAGTAAAGGTTGTATGTTTTCCATAAAAAATAAAATATGTGTTAACAAGGAAGATGCTCATAAAGGAGACAGATGAAAATTACTGGTAGATTTTCCTGAGCCATCTTATTATGCAGTGCCCTTACAGCTTTTATGAAAAGATCTGTTCATTTTTAATTAAAAACTCATATGTGGATATAATATCTTTCCCTCTAGCTCCTCAGCCCTCCCACCAATGTATTTCCTATCTCCCCCTCTACTTCATGTCTTTTTTTTAAAAAAAAAATTGTTCAGATGATTTTTATAGTAATGCTCTTAAAAATTAAAGTATTGAGATGAATTTATATAAAACAAAACAAGTTACTTTAAAGCCAGCAATTTAGTGGTATCTAATATATTCACAGCATTCTTCAGCCACAACTTTTACCTAGTTTGAATGGTGTTCTCCACCATCAAAAAACCAAAAAAAAAAAAAAAAAACCAAAACAAACAAACAAAAAACCCCTCTGTTTCCAAGTACCAATGTTTTGTAATGATACAGGAAGTGAGTTTCATGGGGGCTTATAGTGTTTCTGTATACTGTTTCAGAATGATTTTACCCAGGAGTCAAAGATCTCAGAGGGTGGTCATGTCTTGGTGTGAGTGTTGATTTTATTGCCAAAGCTTTTTCAGCCTAGTTATGTCAACTGGGAGGAGTTCATAAGCAGAAGACTTAGAGCCTCAGATGACGCAATCAGGATAGTAGTTAAACTGATGAAAAGAATTCAGTGGTGTGTCGAGGATGGTCATTGGCTTTGAAGATATCACACATTCCTTTGTAAACAGAAAAGCCAACAAAAATGTGGCCAAAGAGTCTGTGGGTTTCTTTATGCCCATTTTATTAGAAAAATAATAGGTTTATTTATGCAAATTTGTGGGAAGGTGTGCAGTGACTGGTGTGTCATGTCCACCAACTCAAGGTATAAAAAGTCCAGTGTGGGAGAGATGCTTCATTCGCACTTGGGTAACTTGTTCTTCACAGTCTCTCCAAATCTCTCTCCACATCTGCCACCATGACTCGCTATTTCTGCTGTGGAAACTACTTCCCAGGTTACCCTTGCTATGGAACCAACTTCCACGGGACCTACAGAGCCACTCCCCTGAACTGTGTTGTGCCTCTGGGTTCTCCCCTGAACCATGGCTGTGGAACCATCTACAGCTCCCGCAACTTCTGTTATGGCGGCATTAGTAACTACCAAAATCCAGGCTGTTGCTATGGCAGCAGCCTCTACAGGCCATGGGGCTCTGGCTCTGGCTTCGGCTACAGCACCTACTGATGGACCAATGGCTCTGAAGACTACAGGACCCTCAACCAGTTATCTTCACAAGGAACAACCTGAAAACACAATGTCTGTCGTCCAGCCTCCCAGGTGCTTGGAAGATACAGACAACTTACAATGATATGGCTCTTCAGTGATGCTGAACATGATGGCAGTGCCACACTGAAACTCATCTACAGCTAAGGAAAGCAAGACACAGCTTTTTACAAAAGACTGAAATCTAGCCGTGCAGGAGGCAGCTTACCTCCCAGGCTGTTCTGCTCATATATTAAACTGCATCAACCTAAACGTATTTCTAATTGGAGTGTTTGGGCAGGGTCTTACTGTTAGTCTCTCAATAAATCTATTTCATTCAGCATGCATACTTTTGTTCTGGCCTTTTATTTGACTGTGTTTTGTATGTTCTTAAATTCATCAACCATTTCAATCTCTAATGGCTGATTTTAACTAAAGTTTACGGGTGGGTATGACTGATGGTCACTTTTCTCCTCCAGTAGTGTGCATAGTACCTTTCAGGACTGTGAAAGCTATCCAGTAGTAGTGAAGCTTCCAGGTCAGTCCCAGCTTGATTTCTTCATGTTCTATGACCCAAGTATATGGTGTCTTCAGCATTAGGGTATTACCATCAAATAAGTACTGGAGGGTAACCAAGAACAATGGCAACACATGGAAATGTTTGTGGGTCTGTAAGTCCTCGCTGGCCAAAAACTCCAAAGAAAGTAACCCACTAGTACAAAAGTGGTACAAACATCAAGGGAGCAAGAGCCACTTTCTGATTGGATGGAAGTTCCACTCCACAAGATGAAACTCACACCTGGCACTGTTATTGGGCCAAAATCTTGGTGGGTGGGGAGGAGAGAACCTACTATTTTACTAAATGGATTTAGTATTAAACTGAATCCTAATGATACTGTTATACTCATAGATCAATGCATCTCTCAACACCCATCAGAGAAGCTTCTACTTGCAGTAGATGGTGATTAATACAAAGACTTAAAACTGGCCAAGGTGCAGAGAATGAAAGACCCTAGAATGCTTAGCCTAAATGGGACATATATACTGAATATTCTCTGACCAAGGCTCAGTGACCACTGTGGAAGAGCAGACAGAATGAGTGCAAGATCCAGAGGCAGGTGAGGACTCTAAGGAGACAGTGTTTTTTGGACACTACAAGGCAGCTGTGCTTATCAACTCACAGTGGTTGTGAGAGCATGCACAATACTTGTTCAAGCCCAAGCCAGAGAAAATCTCATCATGTAAATGGGAGCTGGGCATAAAATCCCACCCAAAATGTAAGGATAGTGACAATGTTAGCTTCTGGGAGAGGGAGAGAAAGTTTAAGAGTGTCGCCCCTGGTCAGTTGAGCACACAATAGAAGACAACACATCCAAGAACATTTGGGAATCTCTAACTGGCCTTGTAGTAGTCAAAACAAAACAACAAAACTAAAACAAACAAAAACAAAAAAACCCAAAAATGTTGGGTGGGTAAGGAAAGAGAAATGGAGTTGGGGGAGAGGGTATGAATATGATTAAAACACATTGTATGAAACTTTCAAAGATCTAATAAAAATACATGTAAAAGAGAGAAGAGAAATGTCCCAGACTTAATCCAAACATACTGCAGTTGTCATATCTCTGTGTCGATTATGAACATAGACAAAATATTGCATACTAAAAAAGTAAAAACAAAATGCTTCCTTTAATTACTGAAATAGTTCAGTTTGGATTCATTATTCTCCTAGTATCTATAATCTTTGTTTTTGTGTGACCTGAATACCACAGACTGGTGGGTGAATTATAATTAAATGGATTGAGCTAAGAAACTCTGTATTTAGGGACCCATAAGATGCTATCAATAAAGCAAAGCCAACTGCTGAAATCATATAGTATATTTTCCATTTTTAATAAATGGGTTTTGTTTTCTTCAACTTCTTCACCTCTGATTATACATCTATCTAGTAATAAAAATGAAGCTTTTACTCTCTGGAATGATAGTTACCATCAAGAGCACTTGAGATGGTGTATGGTCTGCATTGACAGGATACTCCCTGTCTTGTCTTCAGATTATGTTCTGAATTAAGGGTCATTCACTCATATGTCATGTAGCATGAATCTTAAAGAGTTTTATTAATAAAATCAAACCTGAGCCAGGTATTGGGGTGAACACTGGAAAGTCAGAGAAGCAGAACAAGCCACAGCCACTTCACCTGGTCAACTTCTCAGCTGATCTTGTTTCCTCAGACTGGAAGCCTCTGTGTCCTCATATCCGAATGGCTCTCAGCTGAACTGTGCTGCTCAAAACCTAAAAGCCAAATGCTTCTAGTTCCTGGTCTTCATGCCTTATATACCTTTTTGTTATCTGCCATCACTCCTTGGGATTGAAGAATGATGATACAACTTAAAACACTACACTGGAGTGGTAGAGGTAGAATGATCATGAGCTATGTCTATCCTCAGTTACATAAAAAGCTGGGACTAGCCTGAGTGTCATCATATTCTGTCTCAAAACTAAGTAAATGAATAAGTAATTAAATACAGTGGCATATGTTATTCAAGAGCAATGAGAACATTCCAGAACAGGGTCTGTGTCTTGGTGAGAAGTCTAAGTTTGGAAGAAACAATCAAAATGAAGTCTGCAATCTATCTCAAGATTGAAATGAGAAACAAATAGCAATATTACATTTGTGTTGGAGGAAAATATACAGTAATGTTGACTGAAAAATCTATTCTTAATGTATAAAGAAAAGGTGCCTTGCCGGGCGGTGGTGGCGCACGCCTTTAATCCCAGCACTCGGGAGGCAGAGGCAGGCGGATCTTTGTGAGTTCGAGGCCAGCCTGGGCTACCAAGTGAGTTCCAGGAAAGGCGCAAAGCTACACAGAGAAACCCTGTCTCGAAAAAACCAAAAAAAAAAAAAAAAAAAAAAAAAAAAAAAAAAAAAAAAAAAAAAAAAAAAAAAAAAAAAAAAAAAAAAAAAAAAAAGGCTCGATTTCTGGGATTAAAGGCATGTGCTACCACTGCCTATCCTAAGTATCTAGTGGCTTTTCTGTTCTCTGACCCCAGATAAGTTTATTAGGGTACACAATATTTTGGGGAACACAATACCACCACAATGTCAAGTATTTATTATGCTCTTACTCTAAGAATATACCCAGTTAATTGTTCATGGACTTGTTAAATTTCTGCTTTATAAGAGTAAATATGGTACAGTCCATTATAAATTTCATATATTCATGCATTAACAAGTATTGGCTGTGGCCACTGTGTTTAGCACTTTGAGACTATGGAAACATTCAAGTAGGTAGAGTCTGACTTGGAAGCTGACCGTCTTCAAGAGGGCATTCACTCATTTGGTAGACACCATGCCATGCCAGCACTGAGCAGCACTCTTAGTTCTAGGGGCACAGATGAAACAGTCCTTCCCCTCAGGCGTTCACTATTTAGCATGTGAAAGGCATTGAAAGGATGTTAAATCCACCATCTAATATATAAAGGGCAATAATAGTTTCCTTAAAAAACAAACAATTACTCTATACAATTTGTACTGAGGCAAGGTCCTTTTGCAAATCCATTGCTTTCCTTCCAGCCCTTGTCCACACTGGCTGTTCAGAATGTAGTCAGTTGTCTGGCCCTGTCTCTGGTAGCCCCCTTTCCTCTCAGGACCCAAGCCTGTATAATGTAGATCTCTTTAGTGTTCTTCAGTCTGGACCAGTTCGCTGCCTTTGTGTTTCTTGGCATCAACCAATTTGAAGACTGTGGACTAAAGGTTTTGTTGGATGTTCTTGACTTTCCTTCTTATTTACTCATATGGTGCATCTTGCAGAACCACCGTAGACATGAAGCTGTATCCTTCTCTGTGCTCCTCACCAGAGCTGTATTGTGTTGTGTGCTTATACAGTTTCAGTTGATATTGTCAGTTCATCATATATGAACAGGTTTTCTTCAAGTTTCTCCATTATAAAGTTATTTCCCCATTTAGACTTAATAGTTTTAAGCCTTATTGCATTCGTTAATTGATGTTATACTATAAAAGTGCTTTTCTTCTCTTCATTTATTGTGTTTGCTTATTTTTTTAAATTTCAATCAATATTGCCACTGGCTCACGGTTTCTTATTTTATTCAACTATTTACATTAATTAATTTGTTGTTAAATTTAATATTCAAAGTATTCTGGACATGGAGGATTAAATGCCATTCATGTTTGCTCCTATGTCTTGTGGAAATGGCCCACACCACTCTTGAACTATTTTTCCACTTCTTTGTGGTTCAACAGAATAGTCCAAAGGCTCATCTTGCACTTTTCTATTCTGGTTGTGGATATAGGGATTTTCCCAGAATCCCTGAGTTCTTTTAGTAGGGATGAATTTAGAAAGCAAATATCTATGTTAAGTGTTTCCATTGCTGTGCTATCATTGTTGATATTCTCATTGATAAGGAGAATATGCTAAAGCAATATAATAATATGCTACAACAATCGTCCTTACAATTGTACACAATCCTCTCTTATTTAAGAATGACAGGCTCTTAAGATGCGCTGGAAGTCTATGCATAGGGACAGAGCTCACTGATGAGCAAGATTCATTTTATTGTGAAAGGCACCGACCTTCAGCCTGGAAGAGGCAGTGTTCTCCAAACAACAGCCTGTAAAGCACAGGTCACTAGTGACTCTGTTAATTTCCTTTCACAGTCTTTTGCTGGATTTTCTTTTTTACTACCTTGTCATTGTTTCTGCTCCAATCCTAGCATTTTTAGTGTTGTCTCAGGATTTGAAGGGAATATTTGTTTACTCTTCATCTTTGGGTTCTCCCCCTCTCTCTGTGAGTCTTTTAAAAATATTTAATATAATTAATTTTTATATGTATATGTATATTTGGGGCTGACAGCTTGGTACTAGATAACAGATTAGAGGTTGGTCTCCAGAGAAACTGGTTCTCTGTCTCAGCAGCCATTAACTGCCTTAGAACTTTTCATCTAGGGATGGAGCATTGTGAGATTTCCCCCATCCATACTAGAGTATGCACAGGTCTTTTCTATGTAACCATACTGTTGATATTTCCTGAGTGTGGCTTCTCTGTAACATATAGAAGACACTATCTTGTTGCAGAGACTCCGGTTCTCTGACTCTTAAGATCTTTTGGATGTTCCCGGAGACTTAGGTGTATCAATTGGAGTTGGACACTCATGGTCCATTATTCTCTCATTTTTAAGCAGTTGTGGATTTCTTTAGTACTCTCC